TATAAAAGGCAAATCTTGAAATTTTGGCCTACCGTATTTTCCGGCGTATAAGGCGCCTGGGCTGCCCCGCTGCCCGAGCCCCTCCGCGGCTTTGCTCCGCGTCTTCCTGGTCTGCAGACCAGGGAGACACGGAGCAGCTTTTCTCGCCCCGGAGTACACGGGCGGCGGGACCGCGAGGTCCCACAGTCTGTGTCCTCCGGGGCGAGAAAAGCCCCGTTCGTACCTGCAAGTCGGGGACTGCCTGTATACCCGCCGTATAAGACGACCCCCGATTTTTGGGGGATGTTTTTTAGCATAAAAAGTCGTCTTATACGCCGGAAAATACAGTACCTGATGTTGACAGTCTGACTCTTAGGCTGTAAATCCTCTAGGGCAGGGACCTTAAATATCATCCATACATTCACTTTTCAATTATATGAATCTTGACAAATTACTAGCTTTTTGGAGATATCCTACATATTACTCTTTAAAGATATGTAACAGGGTCTGAATCACTGCTTCCAATGCAGCCAGCTGGAAGGGGAAAGGAATCCTGGGTATAGTTATACTCACTCAGTTGTTTAGCCCTGTACGGCATTCAACTGTTATGTAAATACAGTTCATGCTGGAATGGGAAAGAAATCCTGGTTGTGCTTATGTAAATACAGTTCAGACAGTGTTATAGGCTTGATGGATAGTCAATTGTTAAAATCATATTTTACCTAATGTAAGAAATTTGGCTGTTGTGGGGTCACAAACCATGTTAACCCTAAATGTAGGAACTGTAAAGTATGACCACCAATGCTTGCAGGAGAGACACTGTTACTGTAAAGCATCTCAGATGGACTAGTCTTTCCTTCTAGACTCAAGTGGATTGGATTGGGGGGGGGGAGCAGAGCTCTGAACCAGCAGGCTATATGCCCTCCAGGCATGAGCTGTAAAACTAGTTCAACCTGTTTCTCTTCCTCCCCCTCCCCCAATCCGTTCTAAGGAGTTTAGTTTCTGCTGGCCTGAGCTGCGGGTCAAGAGCTGAAATCACCGAAAAGCTGGAATCACAGAGTTGAAATCACTAGGTTTGGCATAGCTCCAAACTCATCGCCAGCAAGGCAGATGGCAGGAGCAAGCAGCCAGCAGGCAACCAGCAGGAGTGGCAGCAGGCGGCAGGCAACCAGCAGGAGGGGCAGCAGGCGGCTAGCAGAGCAGCTGGCAGGAGCAAGCAGACAGTCAGCAGGAGTGGCAGCAGGCGACCAGCAGGGTGGCTGGCAGGAGCAAGCGGCTGGCAGGCAGCTGAAAGGAGCAGGAGTTTAGTTTCTGCTGGCCTGAGCTGCGGGTCAAGAGCTGAAATCACCGAAAAGCTGGAATCACAGAGTTGAAATCACTAGGTTTGGCATAGCTCCAAACTCATCGCCAGCAAGGCAGATGGCAGGAGCAAGCAGCCAGCAGGCAACCAGCAGGAGTGGCAGCAGGCTACCTCCTATCCCCACCCCGCAAAGGTGGGGGGGGTGAGCTCTGAAAATCACCTCTGAGTTCTGGTCTGCCCTGACCAAGGGCAGCAACTGTCAGGGTATGTCTACACTACCACCCTAGTTCGAACTAGGGTGGTTAATGTAGGCAACTGAAGTTGCAAATGAAGCCCGGGATTTAAATATCCCAGGATTCATTTGCATCTTGCCGGGCGCTGCCATTTTTAAATCTCCGGTAGTTCGGACTCCGTGCCCGCGTCTATACGCGGCACAGAGTAGGTAGTTCGAATTAGGCTTTCTAATTCGAACTGCCGTTACACCTCGTTCCAAATTCGAACTACCTACTCCGTGCCGCGTGTAGCCACGGGCACGGAGTCCAAACTAGCAGGGATTTAAAAATGTCGGCGCCCGGCGAAATGCAAATGAAGCCCGGGATATTTAAATCCCAGGCTTCATTTGCAACTTCGGTTGACTACATTAACCACCCTAGTTCGAACTAGGGTGGTAGTATAGACATACCCTTAGACCGGCCTAGTTTGAGAGCAAAATCAATTTTTTGTCTTGGCTGCCCATTAGGGAGACCTGCTAGCCTTTGCGTCAGAGAATAATTGGGCGTGTGAATGGGACACTTACATTGGTGGACTTGTGAGCCTGAGAGACAAAGGACATTGCTCAATCCACTTGAGCTGGCACGTTGACTCATAGTTTGGTTATGAACTCTGTGTTTTCCCAAGTTAATGACACGTTACTTCTCTCCCTCTTTTTTTCAAAGTTTCTTTTCTACACTCAGACTTTGTGCTTGCGAGTGGGGAAGCATTGCCTCTCAGAGGCACCCAGGGTGTATGTGAATTTTCCAGGCTACTGGGTGGGACCTCGAGTCAGTTCAGTGTGGGATGGATGAAAAGGAACCCCTAGATATTGAACCCAGCCCTGACTGCTGCCAGCGCTACCTGGCAGAAGGGTTACAGATAAATATCCTACAAGGCACATTTAGCTTTGTGAATTTGTCGGGGTCTGAAGTAGGAGTTATTTGCAAGAACAGAGGACCATTTCCCTGGAAGTTTCTGTGTCACAATCACACACTCTTCCAGTTTCTACCACATTAAGCATTTGGACCTCACCTTTAAGGCCTCCATCATTAGTTCTACCCTATATTTCAATTTGTTTTTATTGTGAAGTTTACACGCCCCCTTGACCTTACCTGTGATGTCAACCCAATCACTCACTTGCCCATTTTTCCCAAATTCACCTCCTTGCATTCTTCCTGCAAATCCTTATATTTGAGAATTATTTCCCATTGTCATTCATGACTCCCCCCACTTTAGCCTGTAACATCCCTCCTTAAAATTTTCTGAGGTGGTACCCAAATATTACACTCATCTGCATTCTGCTTCTAGAATATTGTTTGTAAATCAATAAATCCAAAATAATGTCATTACATTTTCCACTTTAGAAAGAATGAATTATAAGCTGATACATACTGTGCTCCAGAAAGTGTGCCAACCCAGGGAGATCCTCGGGGTCACAGAAACTCCCAATAGCAATACAAAGGGCAGCTGCAGACTGCAAACACAACAGACACTGAGGAGTCACTTATAAAAAAAAGCTGTAGTTATTATTATAGTAAACTTCCAATAATCCGGCAACTTTAGGACCCAGGGGTGCCGGATTATCAGATATGCCGGACTATCGGAAGGGGGGGCTATGAGGGGTCTGGGGTGGTCACAGAAACTCCCAATAGCAATACAAAGGGCAGCTGCAGACTGCAAACACAACAGACACTGAGGAGTCACTTATAAAAAAAAGCTGTAGTTATTATTATAGTAAACTTCCAATAATCCGGCAACTTTAGGACCCAGGGGTGCCGGATTATCAGATATGCCGGACTATCGGAAGGGGGGGCTATGAGGGGTCTGGGGTAGAGTCGTGGCCCCAGCCTTCCCCAAGTCAGCCGCTGTTGAAACTGACCAGTGGCTGACTCCGGGAAGCCCGGAGTAGAGCAGCTGGGGTGCTCTGCCCCGGGCTTTCCGGAGTCAGCCACTGGTCAGTTTCAGTAGCAGCTGAATCGGGGAAGCCGGGGGCAGAACAGCTCCAATTATCCGGCTGCCCAGAGCACTTCCGGGTTCCAGACGGTGCCGGACCATTGGATGCCGGACCACTGGAGTTTTACTGTATCTAGTAGGCAAGAACACACCAGTTCTAAGATCTCACAGAGCTACTTTATACCCAAAACAAAGAGAAGAAGAATGAAATAGGTGAGGATGTTTCACTCTGATGCAAATAATAGTTGAGTACATAATTAATGGCAATATAGGCTCGATCGTAAACAAAGAGAGGTAGATATTCTGATACCAGAAATTGAGGCCGCATAAGTAACTAGATGGATAGGACATTCAAGGACTAGCCTATTTGTCAGATCACAATATTTAAGAGCTTAGGACCACAATAGTAGTTTTCTGCTCAACAAGCTTTCATTCTGTAGTGTTGGCACATACCAGCTTCTCTGTACCATTTAAATTCTTTGCTTCTTCCTTTCCTGCTAGTTCTTCCATTTCCATATCATCAGAATTAGTGGGTTCTTCCTCATCATCTCCATCATTCTCATCTTCCTCATACTTCTTCTTGTCCTCTTCCATCTCGGTTCCTGAGTCATCATCTTCAGCAGTTTCAATCTCATTCTCATCATTATACTCCCCTTCCGAAGATTCCTCAGAAGGACCACCATCCATGTAATTTGCATCCGAAATCAGTAGTGCACACAAGCCGTTTTGCAATCTGAGATACCTGTGAAATCAACTATATTAATATTTTAAATCTTCAATTGTCTACATAATGACACTCCTCGATAGGCACTTCTGCATTCCTCCTTTGAAATGTACAAGAGCCCCGCTGGGGTTCTTGTACATTTCAAAGGAGGAATGAGGAACTCCACGTGCAGCCTGGGGCCACCGGAAAGTCCCACTGACTCCGGACTGCACATGGGCGTGCCTGCTTTGAAATGCACAAGAGTCCCCGCCTTGGTGTTTCAAAGAGGCAGCATTGTGGAGCCTGGGGATACACCTGGCTCCTGCATTAGGAAGGTAGGATAAGGGGCCCTAGCTCAGCTGTGCAGCACTGCTGCTTTAAAGTACCCCTTCTTCCTCACCCTCCTTTGCTGCTTCTATCTGATAGAGGCAACGGGGGGAAGGTGGAGGCAGAGGGAAATCGACTAATTGACTGACTATCTGATAAGCAATTGCTTATCGGATAGTCGCCTTAGTCCTTAACATCCTTAATCTCATGTTCTTTGTTCTCTCTCACATCCTGTTCTTCGGGAAGAAATCTGTATGCATGCAAATGTTTTTAGTAGGGTGTTTTAAATTACATTACATACACACATCCTCATTCATACAAACAGTATGTATTTATAAGAAGTCAAGGTCAAAGAAGTACAAAATGCACATAGTTGAGAAAGTGCTGAAGCTTGTGATGGTTCTTAATTCCTGTGAGAGTTAATTATACAGTCTCAAAGCAGCCTGAGCAACATCTGTGTCTTGCACAGATACGTTTTTCCCTTATTGTAGAAAGATTGTGCCAGAGGAGCAAAGTTGTTGACCATCATGTCTATCTTGGAGTTTTAGGCAATATTTTAGATACCCTTGGCCCAAGCCATTAAGCATCTTGATAAGAAAAGACCAAGATCTTGAACTTGACTTGGCATTTCATAGGAAGCCAGCATAGTGAGTCAAGGACAGATTTGATGTGTTTTGTGATAAGTCTATTTCACTAAGGAGAATCATTCTAAGCACAGAAAACTTCATGTCCAGGTATACAGCATTGCTTTAATCTAGAAGAGAGGTTACAAAGGCATGTATGAGGCCAGATCATTGGCCAACAGTATAGGTCAAAATCTCCTTGCCACTGGAGATAGCAGACAGCATTATTTAGAGGTAGTTATATGAGCTCTTAGATCCAACTAATAATCTAAGATTACTCTTAAACTACAGACTGAATTGATCAATTGTGGGTGTGTGTCTTTAAATAAAGAGCTTAACTTTTCAGAATATTTTCCTCTGCCCACAGGCATAAAGAGAAATTACTCACCTTGTGTAGTAACAACAGTTCTTTGAGATGTGTGTTCCCGGGGATATTTCACTGTGGTTGTGTCTACACTGGGCCACTTATTCCGGAAAAGCAGCCGCTTTTCCGGAATAAGCTGCGAGCTGTCTACACTGGCCCCTTGAATTTCCGGAAAAGCACTGACGATCTACTGCAAGAAATCAGCTGCTTTTCTGGAAAAACTATGCTGCTCCCGCTCGGGCAAAAGTCCTTTTTCCGGAAAACTGTTCTGGAAAAGGGCCAGTGTAGACAGCACAGTAGTCTTTTCGGCAAAAAAGCCCCGATCGCAAAAATGACGATCGGGGCTTTTTTCCGGAAAAGCGCGTCTACATTGACCACGGACACTTTTCCGGAAAAAGGGCTTTTCTGGAAAAGCATCCTGCCAATGTAGACACTCTTTTTCCGGAAATACTTATAACGGAAAACTGTTCCGTTTTAAGCATTTCTGGAAAAAGGTGCCAGTGTAGACGTAGCCTGTATGTGTTAGATCGCCCCAGCACCACAGATAGGAGTTTTCTGCAACAGTAGCCAGTTGGGCCGGTCATGCACATGAGGTGCCTCGTACCATTTGCGCCTCGTGCTTCACACGCAGCCCGACCCCTCTTCAGTTCCTTGTGTATGCCCAAGTATCTGAAAAAGAGCAAACAAGGAGAACACCTCTGAAGACAGAGGGGAGGAGAATGAGTAGTGGAGCTCCTACAGGGACACACATCTTGAAGAACTGTCGTTACAGCACAAGGTAAATAACTTCCCTTCCTTCTCCGAGTGATGTCCTCATGGGTGCTCCACTGTAGGTGACTTCATAGCAGTTATCAGTTATGATAAGGATGGCGGGATTTGGAGTCACCCGTTGTTGACAATGGATAGCACTGCATCGGCTACTGAAACATCATTGGAAAGATGCTGGAGAATAGTGTAATGTTTCATAAAAGTATGGCCTGATGACCATCTTCCAGTATGGCAAATGTCCCAAAGTGAAACCCTTATAGGAAGGCTGTGAAGATGGAAACTGCCATAGTGGAATGCGACGTAGGCAGGGTAGGAAGTATCTTGTCACATAAAGCGTAGCACTGTATACAGGAGACAATGATGCTGGATATGCATTGCGAAAAAAGTGCCCTGTCTTTGCATTGCTCCAGCCCAACACAAATAATTGTTGAGAAGAGTGCAAGGCCCTACTACGGTCAATGTAGAACGCAAGAGCCCTCCAAACATCCAAAGTATGTAGGAAATGCTCTCGTGCAGATGAGTGCAGCTTTGGAAAAAAGTCTGTGGAATAACTGGCTCATTAATATGAAAGTCCGAGGACATCTTTGGTAAAAGGGATGACCATATAAGAAGGTACTGCTGTAAAGGCTGCGAGGTCAGTAAGCCTGCAGGTAGACGTTACTGTTAGCAGAAAAATTACCTTGGTGGTCATGAGAGATAACAGGCAGGTCACCAAAGGCTAAAATGAAGATCGAGTTAATGTATCCAATACCAACTCCAGGTTCCATTAAGGTGATAGAGGTCTGTGTGATGGAATAAAGTTCTGGAGGACCTTTAGAAAACACCTGGTAATAGGGTGGGCAAATACAAAATGTCCCTCCACCAGGGGGTGAAATATGGTGATAGCAGCAAGGTGAATCTGAAGAGAAGGGAGGTAAAATTAGATTGTTTCAGATCCAGGATGTAGTCCAGGATTATGTGAAGTGGGGCTGTGTATGGGTCGGAATGTCTTTGTTCGCACCATGTGGAGAATCTCGTCCACTTGCGGAGGTAAACAGGGCGGATGGTAGTGCACCTACTGTGCAGGAAGACTCATTTCACTCTGTCAGAGCAGCACCCTGAAACCAGCAAGGAGCCAAGCTGTTAAATGTAGGGCCTGAGGATGGGTATGCAGTACGGTCTGCCTGTCCTGGGTCAGTAGATCTGGACAGTATGGGAGGAGATAGGAGGATTGAAGAGACATTTGAGAGAGATAGGGAAACCACGTCTTCCTGGGATAGGTGGGGGCTATCAGAATTACTCGAGCGTGGTCCCTCCTGATCTTCTGGAGGACTCTGGGGATGAGCGGGATTGGAGGGAAGGTATAGTGGAAGTGGGCTTTCCAAATATCAGGAAAGCGTCACCTAGGGATTCCCATCCCAAACCCACTCTGGAACAAGAAGATGGATATATGGTGGTGTTGTAGGAGGTGAATAGGTCAATTTGAGGAAACACACATTTTTTAAATGTGGGTCTGAGAACTCGGCGATCATGGTCTATGGTGAAATGTCTGTTCAAAGTGTCTGCCGCCGTTTTGTTGATTCCGGGCAGGTATGAAGCAGTCAATGTTATGTTGTTGGTTATGCATCAATTCCAGATGCACACTGCTTCCGTGCACAATGAACGGGATCAGGCACCACCGTGACAGTTGATGTAATACCTTGTCATTATGTTGTCTATCAATATTCTGACCGTGTGATTGGCGATACGTGCTCAAAAGTGTTTGCAAGCATTGGAGACTGACCGAAGCTCCAGGGGTACGTCTACACTACAACGTTAATTCGAACTAACGCGTCTAGAACTAAAAACTAGTTCGAATTAGCGTTTTGCTAATTCGAACTAGCAAGTCCACATTGAGTGGACTCTGAACAGGGCTTAAGGATGGCCGGAAGCAGTGCTGGCAGGGCATCAGAGGAGGACTTAGAGCGTGGAGATGCTGTCTCAGGCTAGCCGAGGGCTGCACTTAAAGGGTCCCGACCCCCACCCCGGACAGACAGTTCTAAGGGGTGCCCCGCTTGCAAAGAAGTTCTGGCTTGGAGTGCCCGGAGTACCCACACTGGGCACATTACACCACTCGGCCATCAGCCCGGCTGCACTTGCCGCAGGCTGCCATCTGGGGAGAGAGGGCAATCGGGGGGCTGCAGGAGAGCTTCCACCCCCAGAAGCCCACAGAGCCAGCCCAGTCCTCCCCATCGGGGGCTCGTACCCCATTCCTCCCTCACCTCCTTCCACTTACCCTTCCCTAGCCCCCCTTCTTATTGATGTACAAAATAAAGATAACGTTTCTTCCAACATTGACTCTGTCTTTATTGAACAAAACTGGGGGAGACTGGGAAAAGGAGGTGGGAGAGGGGAAGAGAGAGGCTGGGAGAGGGGAGGGCAACTAACATGATCAGGGGTTGGGAACAGGTCCCAGATGAAGAGAGGCTACAGAGACTGGGACTGTTCAGCTTAGAAAAGAGGAGACGGAGGGGGGACAGGATAGAGGTCTCTAAAAGCAGGGGTTGGGTGGAGAGGGTGCATTCAGAAAAGTTCTTCCTGAGTTCCCATCAAGAAGGACTAGAGGACACCAAAGGAAAGGAATGGGTAGCAGGCTTCAAACTAGTAAGAGAAAGTTGTTCTTGACAAAGCAAATAGTTAACCTGCGGAACTCCTTGCTGCAGGAGGCTGTGAAGGCTACAACTAGAACAGAGTTGAAAGGGAAGTGAGATCAAGTCATGGAGGTTGGGTCCATGGAGTAGTCTTAGCCAGGGGGTAGGTGTGGTGTCCCTGCCCAAAGTTTGTGGAAGGCTGGAGAGGGATGGCACGAGACAAATGGCTTGGTCACTGTCTTCGGTCCATCCCCTCCAGGGTCCCTAGGGTTTGCCGCTGTCGGCAGACAGGCTACTGGGCTAGATGGACCTTTGGTCTGACCCAGGACGGCCATTGTAAGCTCAGGG